CCCCCTCCCCCAGCTCAGCTGACTTCCATTTCCCACCGACAAAATACAGAGAATTGCAATCGAGATAAGAGGCCAAGAAGACATCGCCCCCGTCGCTGTCCTCTTTTGAACGGGCAGAGAACAGGGGGCGAGCGGAAGATGGGGTAAGGGAAGCGAGGAGGGCCATAGAAGGAAAAGAGAAAAGGAGGGGATGGCAGGGTCGGGCTAGCTTTTCCTTTCACAAATCTCTCTGTGCAAAAGACAATAACGCTTTATTTGTTTACTTGATGGCACGTTTGTTCTGGTAAAAGAAGGCATTATTAGCTATTACCCACGCGAGATTCCGTTTGAATACTCGGTAGTTTGTGACGCTCGCATTATCCGTTTCCGCCGCGGCGGAGGAGGGATGTTGCTGCTCGGGCACACAAGGGATGCACACTGTGGGTCCGTCCGCCTGACCGCGCTGAGTACGGGCCGCCGGCAGCCTTGAGGAAACAGCAGTCGTATGACAGCAGTCCTCTCTGGGCGGCGATATGTCGTGTTGTGCGCCCTTCCTGAGGCCCTTCCTTCCCTTCTGGCCGGCACCACCACACGTCACAGTAAGGGTGACAGTCCCTTGAGCCCCAACTCTGTGTGTGTGTGTGTGTGCGTGCGTGTGTCATGTGGACCACAATGGCCACGTCAACTGGCGGGGCGCTCAAAGAGGTATACGACCGACACGATGTAATACCGCCCCTTGCAAGCGGCAGGGTCAGTAGTTGTCGTGAGGGTGAATAACACTGCCTCGAAACACTGTGTCCCCGTGAAAAGGGTTACACGACTGGAAATTGTTTGAGAAAAGAAACAAAAAACACGTGAAAAGTTACGAATAATTACTTGGTACTCTTGGTTTAATGTGCACTGCAAAATTAATGTAAAGAATTAAGAAGCATATTGTAAGGAAGTTTTGCATTGCAAACTATTTTCTTTGCATTGCAAACTATTTTCTTTGCATTGCAAACTATTTTCTTTGCATTGCAAACTATTTTCTTTGCATTGCAAACTATTTTCTTTGCAATGCAAACTATTTTCTTTGCATTGCAAACTATTTTTTCGTAAGTTGCGAAGAAACGGTTTGCAATGCGGAGGGTTTAGTTCGCAAGCAATGTTTTACAACTCCTAAAAATTCTTTGTAAGCTTTACAGTGCGATTCTTCTGAAAGTCTATTCGAATTACAGTGTGGTGTGAAGGTGAGGAGCTACAGTTCTCGCTCATTTCGTCGCCGCCCGCGTGATGTTCGGCCGGAGCGATTCCCGGGAGCTGAGCCGCTCGGCGTGACTCTGGTAATTGATGGATGAATTGATTACTGCCCCGACAGAGATTCATCTCTTCGCGCGCCTCTCTCTCTCTCTCTCTCTCTCTCTCTCTGTCTCTCTGTCTCTCTCTCTCTGAGCAGGGCACATAGAACATCCCCCGCGCCAGCACCGCCCCGCCACCAACACAGGCCTCGCAGATAAGACAACATAAATAGGAAGGCTACTGCTCTGCGGGGACACGATGGGGTTGCAGACAGAGCCTGTCTGGGAGAGATTGAGGGGAGAGGGGTAGGGAGGGGGGATAGATGGAGATGTGGGGGGCGACAGAGCGGGGAGAGTGGTTGTCAGACAAGGGGGTGGGGTGGGACTACTTCTTACGAGGAGTTCTTACGGGCACTGTAAAAAGAGTGGTCATATGAAGTTTCGGAATGGCATTCGTAAAGTACAACAGGAAACCAAAAGTTTGTCAGGTGACTCCTTTCAAAGCATATTTTTCTGGGCTCATTTATGACCCCATCACAATAAAAGATGCTTATTAGGATGGCATTCAAAACAATATTACTTTAGCACACCTGCAAAGGTGCGACTTCACACCTTTGTTTTCCCAGAGTCTCGTCAAACCATGGTACTTGTCATTTTAACGGCGCGAGCAAACGCGAAGCAAAAGTGAGAATTGTAGACGTTCCGCTAATGCACACGTGACATGCCACGCGTAGCAAGCGACCTGCGAGCCGCACCAATCGACCACCTGCGCCGCTGACAGCTCCGCGACAGCCGGCGATGCTCAAGGCGAGGGGGGCGAGAAACGTACGACGCTGACGCGCGAAATCAATTCCTCGCGATGGAAATCCCGCGCCCGACAGGCCAAGCGGACCGCATAAACCCTCGACAGGTCATATCACACATGCACTCCGCTTCATTGGTGGGCTGGGAGATTCGCACGCGAGCGTTTCGTGACATTCTGACGGGCGCGGTGCGACACGGACCGACCCGAGCAGTCGTCACTTGTGACCCGCAAAAGCCGCGCGAGCGAGTGCGCCCGCCAGTCACCACGTCGATTTGGTGGCGAGAGCGGGTGTCACCACGCCGTCACGTGGACAGCGACCACGATAGAGATGAGCGCCGAGCCCGACACCGACGGGTACTTAACCCCGAAGGGCCCCGACAGTTGAATTTTGTGGTGTTCTGGACTAGCAGAATGACGGTACACCCAAGTGAACAGTTATCATTTACCCCCAACATGGCCCGCGCACGGACACAAAATTTTGCGACGAGGATGAGGCGATAGGGATTTTACAGTAGTTTTCTTAGTCACCAGTCAGTCCGAAAATGTGCGAGAAAATCGCCTCTAAAGGCTTTTGGGAGAGCGGGCTGCTCATTTGCCTGTCCATGCGGCCCCTCGTTGTTCATTTGTGCCTTGACGTCAGCTGGCGCTAGCGTCGTCCCGGAGGCATCGCTTAAATACTTGGCAGCAACAGGGTGGTCGTCGCCGGCCCGTCAGGCGGTACGTCTTTGTTTCCGCTTACAAAAGGCGCAGTCCACGCTCAATCTCGGCGTCAGCGTCCGAAGGGCCGCCTGCTGCTAGAGCCGGGTTCGGATGCAGCCCGCCGCCGCCCGCTGGAGGGCAACTACCCTCTGCTTCGCGGAGAGGCAGCTTTGAATTTCTGTGGGATGCTTCCACGGCCTCACAAGCAAAAACAAGAAACTGTCGTGTTTCTCTTATAATTTTTCAGTCGATTTTTTCTTTTAACAGAAAGCTTCCCAGGGGCGCACACTATGTCCCTCGCCTTTCAGCACCCCTTACCCCGTAATACCCTGTCTCCTCGCGAGCAGCGTCTCTGCGGTATCTCTAATGTAAACTTCTGCCCCTTAAAATAAGGCGGGAGGCCGAACAGGATAAAAAAGAGGAGAAAAGCTTCAGAAACTGCAGTGAGTGACACATTGACTTAGAGCCACCTTTACCCATGCATAATCAATGAGAGACGCCTCTCAACCCCTTTTTCGCGCCAAAAGCCTTCTTAACGTGTCTCTAATTAGAGCGCGCAGAGGGTGATTATAAAGCAGCGTCAAAGGGAGAGGAGGAGTAAAAAAAAAAAAAAGGGCCAGGGCCGCCCCGCACCACGCCGAGCGCGACCTCAGATTCGCCTACATTCCGATCTCTATCTCCCAATAAGCCTTTCTCTTGCTCCCCCCTTTCCCCAGCCGCCGCC